AGGGTGGAGGCCATCGCTACTAGGGTGGAGGCCATCGCTACTAGGTTGGAGGCCATCGCTGCTAGGGTGGAGGCCATCGCTACTAGGGTGGAGGCCATCGCTACTAGGGTGGAGGCCATCGCTACTAGGTTGGAGGCCATCGCTACTAGGGTGGAGGCCATCGCTACTAGGTTGGAGGCCATCGCTACTAGGGTGGAGGCCATCGCTCTTAGGTTAGAGGTCATCGCTTCTAGGGTGGAGGCGATCGCGACTAGGTTGGAGGCCGTCGCTTCCGGGGTGGAGGCCATCGCTTCTAGGTTGGAGGCCATCGCTCTTATTTATTGTCTTGTATTTCTTCAATGTGGGCAAAAGTGGAAGTATCTCTTCGCTAATGATCTTCCAAAAGTTGGTCTGCCTCTACATGGCTGTCCAAGCAAATTATCACCTCGCCACGTGCTCGCCAAATGCCTGACACCCAAATGCACTGCTTCTGGATTCACAAGATCTTGAACGTATTTAGGCCAGTAATCGCCAGTATAGGATTCCCGAAACACTGTCACTCGAGACACAGCAACAAGTAGACGGAACAAACTAACTGACATGAATTACTATAACGAGTAGTAACGACATGTAACGACTGGATTTGACTCCCACGCCGCTCCTTCCATCCTTGCTTTCATCAGACCGCGACGCTCCTTAGGCCGGCGGGCCAGCTGGGCGGGCTGGGCGGGCCAAGACGGCCAAACCTTTTCCATCCTTTTCCGATGTCGTTTCTGTTTTTCGTTTCTTTCACTTGGACCTTTTAAGAAAGCTTAAAGTGGAAAGGTGATGAAAGGTGATTTTGCATGTTCTTCGATCTTCACCTTATCGAAATAACCTGCACTCTGACAAGAAAACAGCAACAGCCAGCAAGGTGACCAAGTCTACTGCAAGCTGCCTGATCACCAATCAATGCTCCCCATACTTATGCGACTGAACCTCACTTATAAGTTAACAACCAATCATACTACCAATCATTTAGGAGACCAATCAACTGGCGAAAGCGTCAAATGGTCGATCCACCACACTTCCTCGGCTCAGCTTAGCTTCCTTTTTCGTTTCGCACGCCATGCTCTCGGTCCTCGTCTCGTGGGACATCTTCTCTCGTCACAGGTCACCACCAGTCACCACACGAGCACTTGCCGGCCGTGAATTCGTGCATTCTCACTTGATCCAAAATACGCAAGGTCCGGCCATACACACTTGAGGCAATCTTGAATGCATTGTGACAATCAACACAACAGCGGATAGTCTTGCGAATGGTGATGGAGGAGCCTGCTGGAAATTCTCCTAGAGCCCAAGCCAGTGCTTTCTTCTCAGTGTGGAATCGGAGCCTCTCTTCTCGCTCTTCATTGGAAATCTCCGGGTCATATTGCCAGAGTTGTGGGTTGTAGCCAGAGGTCTTCAAACAAGCTATCATGCGCTCGACATACGCAGTCACAGCCTCATCATTGTCAATGCCTGGCTCGAAATATAAAGGCTTTCCCGTGGAAGGATCATCGACGGTGCTTGTGGGGACGTGTGTAGCGACACCATCCTCTTTTTGCCACTTGTCAACTTTTGCTGCTCCGATCTCATTTCCAGCCAAAGCACAACATTGCCGTGTCAATGTGTAACATGCTGATTTCGTCTGATCCCCAAAGTGACGTCGTGCTTTCTTCAGAACACGCAGGGCACAGTTGTGGTCCAGTACGGCTCTGCAGCCAGAAAGAACCGAACAATAAGCTTCAATGGGCAAAGTCACCTCTGCGTTCACTTCGTTAAAATAATTAACCGCTTTCGGAAGAAGCCCGGCCTTGCTGTACACAGCAATAATAGCACAATGTGTGTGCTCGTTGGGCTCGACTCCATCGCGATGCATTTGAGTGACAAGTGTTTCTGCACCAGTGACGTCTCCAGCTCGAGCACACTGCGAAATACCCGCAGTGTAAAGAAACACATCAGGCTTCACTTTGTAAACATCCTGGACGCTTTCTATTAAGAGAACTACAGCGCCGGTGTCATTCGCAAAGCCGAGAGCAGCAACAATCTGGACAAGGAACTGGCAGTCAAGTGTCAAACTGTCTGATTCTTGTAATCTCTTTGCCCGCTTCAGCAGCTCCCATGTCTTTCCAGTTGGGGCACCCGCACGCCTGTAACAACCAACCATGCTGGTCAAGAGCTCGAGGCATGGCTTTGTACCTTGCCAATCTAGTTCCCCAAGCAACTCCTCCACCACTTGCGAATCTGCACAGCCCTGCAGCATTGTGCTCATGAGCTGTTGATCTGCAGCCACCCCACGCCATTGCATATCATTCCAGAGCGCAAACAGCGTTGTTTGTGGGCCTCCACCCCTTACCACTGCATCAAACAGTGCTGTGTAAGTGTATCTGTTGGGCTGGACATGCTCTAGCATCTGTTTAAACAGCTCAAGCGCCTTTGGCCATCGCCCAACATGTCCGGCAGCTTTAAAGGTCCTATTGTAGGCAGATAACGGTGGTGTGCAACCTTGAGGAAATCGCAATAATGCAGAGCATGCAACCTCAAAAGACTCCAATGTGTCTTTTTTGCAGGCAAGATCAATGACCTGTACCAGGCTTGCGCCGCTGGTTGCGACTTCACTCTTTCGGGCAAAAGCCCGTACCACGGACTCCCAACCAGACTTCAGAGCTTGTGCCACTGGGCAGGCGCGCATGTTTGATTTCTGCCGCCTCACAGCCCCTACAATGAATGCAGACAAATTACTCACCTTGCAGAGTTGTGCTGTAAAGAAACTATCAACCATTTCCAATGCTGTGTCCTGTGGTAGACCAGCCAAGGCTCCAACTGCGCTCGAGTCCAAATCATCTATGGTCCATCCAGATCCTGCCAGTTTCGCATTCAAAGCTTCGGACAACTTCAGTGGCAACTTGGCCCCAAAGGTGTCGCTTACACCTTTGATCACAGTTGAGCAGTAGTTGTTGATATCTCGCACACTGTTCTTGTCTTTGATCACCTTTTGCAAACGTTGCAAGCACACTGTCTTAGCCCCCTCACAAAGTCCAGCAAAATCCAATAGAACTTTGGAGTCAAGCCCCCATTCAACTGGAATAGCCGGAACGTCCGGCACTGTTGCTGTACCACTGAGGCGATCGCATGTGTCAGTGTGCCTTGCACGTTTCCTCGGAGGTTCCCCAAGAGCGTCGCAACACGCTGCCCAAAGTTCGAAGAAGAAGTCATTGCTCGGAGAAATGACACCGCCAGGACCGTCCACCAATTGTCCAGGCCGTGCCCAACGAAAGGTACAAAGATCGTTTGAGGTTTGCTCCAAAGATCTGAAAACCAACGATGCGGATGCCTGTGCTTGTGTGGCAACGAACAGATTGATGCTCACTCTTGGGGAACATGTCGAATGTTGTTCTGGAACTCCATGTGGAGTCCCCTCTGCAATATGCACAGCATCCCCTTCATTCAGGACCAAAGCGGTATCACCCATGAGTATCGGTCTGCTTCCACCAACGACCAAAGTTAATTGCCCAAACTTGTGGCTGTGCATCTGACAGCTTGCAGTCCCATCATCATAGCGGCTCAACACACAGTTGAGTGGGATTAGGGCTTCATTGATGGCCTTGCTGCCGCGAAGCAACAACTTTCTCAATAATTTCTCTAGGACTTTGTCTCCGACGTCAAAAGAGAGAAACCTCTTCGACGATGTGCTCCAAGGCTTCTCCAAAAGGTGCTCCAAGACTCCATCTGGTACCTTAACCCTGAACGCTTCCGCCATCCGACACGGTTTCTCGGTTCCACGACCCATCCGACCGAACGAGGGTCCAACATGGGATTGCCATTCTGTCGCTTTGAGAGAGTACTTGTCATTCGCATAATTATCTGTATATGCACAGAAAGAACAAACACACACACTCACATATATATTGTACTTCTGGGTTTGGTCTTCCCTCCGTTTTAGCTGTTGTGAATTGTCTCTGCTGATCTGAACTTAGATTGCAAGATCTGCCTGCGATCGCAAAAACAGCATTGCATCTGAACATGTTGCATTCGTCTGAGTGTCCTTTCCGGGACTCTGCAAGTAGGTCTTTGCGGTCTGGATGCAACAAGTTGTTCAATCAAGCTCCTTCAATTATTTTTAGCTACCTGCAGGGTAGTGTCTAGACATCTTTCAAAGCCAAAGCCATGTAAAGATCAATAAGATCTGGGCCCGGAGCCGCAGCAGTGAGACCTTTCAAGGAGCGGGTGGTGGGGAAGGGCGGGAAGTGGAGACAGCATAGACAACGTGTTCATTGTGACGACTCGTAGTTGGCGTCTTTGTGAGTGGCGCATCAGCACACATCACATCGCAAGTGTCGCGGTCTTGGTTTACTAGTAGGCGTCCTTGCTCCTAGTAGTAAGGCCAGGAGCCCCTGGTAGCATCATTGCTCCTAGTAGCGATGCCCTTTGCTCCGTCAGAGTTTCGAGACTCCAAACCTAAGGCCTCCAAAACGAATGATGTTTGGGATGTTTCTGTCTTCGGAAGTTCTGCCAAAGAGCTCATTTTTCATTGTCCCTTTTATTTAGAGCTTCTTTCTTTCTTTCCTTTTTCTATCGTTTCCTTGTTCTTTCATATTCTTCGCGGCCTTCGGAAGTTCCAGCAAGTATTCCTCCAATTCGCCTTGGAGTCGCTGCCACTGCCTCGCCAAATCGTCGCATCCTCTGGGCGTCTCTCACAACGCCCAAACATGCTCCACCTGTTCATGAACCTCATCTGATGCAATATGATGCACTATGATTCAAAAGGGCATTTGATGGCATCTTTTGTGCGGAGTGGCAACTAAGTAACTCTAGTGCCATCTGAGTGGGTATCGGTAGGTTAATTTCCATTGGAGGCCATTGCTATTAGGTTGGAGGCCATAGCTGATAGACGCAAAGAAAAAAGAAAAGGAGAAAGGTCTTATATAGTTTGCTATTCTCCAGCTCAAGGCGCCAAATCACGCCTTTCAGCGAACTTCTCTGGCTCAGGTCGACTGTCATCATCTACCAAGAGCACCTCTCAAGCTCGAGAGTCGGTGTGGGTTCGTTACACCAAGCATCCAAGAGTGACATGAGGACTGAGGACCTTTACCAAGCTCGCAGCTATATCAGCAGAACCCTTTTCCCTCGTTCAAAGGAGCTGAACAGTTGGAAACATGAGCGGCATCTATCTATTGATCGAACTCGCTTCCCCCAAACCATCCATTTGTATTCTCGCTACAATGAATAGCATGAAAACGACAAGAGGACTTAAATAGAATGGTGAAGGTTGATGAATCCGTCGAACTGTCGCAGTGTCATCTTCCAACCATGTCTCTTCGCTCTTTTTTATCTGTGCGGATCGAAGGTTCGCAATCTCTCCGACCATTTCTCGGAGTTGGGGCGCCTCAGTTCGAGAAAATTGTGTTGGCCTCCAACCTAATACGCATTTTAGACAAGAGACACATTTGAACTTGAATGAAGAGCGAGGTTGTAATGTATCCAAAAGCAGCAGCTTTCTTGCTTGGGAGGGCTATTGCGATCAAAGTTTGTGTCCAAATTGAAGGCGACCTGTAGAAACTCCAAGACTGTGTGCCACCTAGGAGCTGCTGGTGGGGCACGTCCTGCATGATGCAGCATTTTTTTGGGGTATGTAAACCTTTTGTTTGTTCAACTTTCTGTGACGATTTGTAAAGCACTTGCTTTTTAAACGATATGATAAGACGGGGCCATTCCACTGGTCACATGAAGCGAAGAAGTCAGGCCTGCCAAGTGTCGAAGTACGTCATCAGGGTGCCCAAATAAGTTCGGAAAAAGCACACAACAAAGCTTCAAAGAATATTTAGACTGCAGTCCTGCGCTTGCTCCACACATTCCAAGATGGCGGCAATGGATGCAGCACCAACCTCTCTGTCAAATCACCAAGGCCAATACCCCTTATAAGGAACACACACAAAAGAAAAGAACACACACACAAACAAAGCTTTTTTGTTTAAAACCATTTCAAACCTCAGCTGTCCACGGCAGGTCCAACGGGTTGACACTCGTCGGACGGAAGTTGGTCGCACCTCTGAAGTGCAAGTTTGAGCCTCTCGTATTGAACGAGAGAAGGTCCTGGCAAGGATGCTACTAGGGGCTCCTGCCATCGCTACTAGGAGCAAGGACGCTACTAGGAACAAGTTCATCGCTACTAGTAACAAGTGCCTTACTTGTAGTAACAAGGGCGCTAGTAGGAGCAAAGGGCATCGCTACTAGGGGCTCCTGGCCGCACTACTAGGAACAAGAAGCTACTAAAGACGACCAGTCCGACCAGGTCTGGACCGACGTCCCTGTTCCTTTGGTCCAACCAGTTTTTTTGCGTCATCCCAATCGTTGGGGACATCCAAATACTGGCGTTTTCTCCTTGGCTGATCATCACGCTCCACTGGAAGCCTTTTGGCACCGGAAGCACTTGAGCTGCTTGGGCCTGCAATGCAAACAAGGACTTGGCAATGGAAAGCCCAAGAGATGGAATAGAAACCATTAGGCAAACATGTAGTTAAACGTTGGCTGTTCTAGGCACGGAGCTTATGATTTAAGGCATTTATAGACTATGTAATTATAAAGCCCATAAAACCCATTAAAAAATATATATATATATGCTGCGGCCTTTATTACAATCGTAATTGTATGCTATGTGCCCATCGCTTCGCACCTGCATCACCACTCGCGAGTGGCATCCGAAGCGCATCGGACTCTTGGCCTCGGCGGCTATTTGGCCTCGGATTCGAAGGAGCGAAGGAGCCGAAGACGGCTCCTACTAGCGTCCTTGTTACTACTAGTAAGGCACCTGTTACTACTAGCGATGCACTTGTTACTACTAGCGATGCACCTGTTACTACTAGCGTCCTTGTTACTAGAAAGGGAAGGAAGGGGCAGTCCGGAAGGGGCTTTAGAGAGAACTTTGAGAGAACCAATGGACGGCGCTCAAAGGGTTCACTCCCTTCTTCAGGACTTTCTACACACCCTCAGGCAGAAACCAGGGTGAGAATTTGCATCAAGTTCAGTTTTCCCAAATGAATAGTGCGAGCGCTTCTTCAAGGAAGCTCTCCCCCCCGAGGGTGGAGGAGCTTCCTTGAAGAATCGTGAGCTATCCTGCGTCCAGTGTGCTAGTAAGCTATCCTGCATAGCACAGCTAATTAATAAAGAGCGAGCAAAAAAGGAAATTTGACTCAGACAGTTTGCACCACATGGAATTTTCAGTGAAATAAACCTTTGATCCGCTATGCAGGACTTTGGAATGCCGTAGAGCCATTGCCAAATTGATCCACTCGTCTATATGACCACGATGACCACACTGTCGAATGGACGTCACAACGTGTCGTGAGACAAGCAACATAAACGCATGGAGTTGGGATTTTGCTGCACTTTGATTCACTCTTCTTAGCTTGAAGCTGGTTTGTCTGTGTGAGAGGGGATAAATTACGATATTGGCTCCAGGAAGTTGGGATGGCCCGTCGCAAAAACCCTCAAAAAGGCCGGTGGTCAAGCGCTGCTTGCACTTTTGCCGTGCCATTTGCAAAGTTTGTTCCTGGCATTGTCGCATTGACTCGCTTGCGTGGCAAATGAACTGGAATGTGTAGAGGTACCTTTCACATCATTTCACCAAGTCCCCCAACGTACTATTTGTAGCTAGTAAAACGCTAGGTCTTAGGCGTTCCTTTGTACTGGACTGGACTCCATAAGTAATTAGTAACTTAACCTGTCAAGATCATATCCATGTCATGCTGTGCGTCATGCGGTTGGGGATCCGGACCCAAAGCTGGTGGAAGGGAAGCCATGTGCTCCCAAACCCAAAGGTGTTGCGGTACTCCCACCACTGCGGGGCGGCAGCGCACCTCGCAAAACAAATCCGCCAAACACGCGTTCTCTTTGAGAGGGTTAAAGTTTCTTCGTGGTTGCGTTTGACAAACCTTAGAGTACCGCGCTTGTTGGTAGCAAGGGTTAATGACATCCACATCATCCACTTCTTAGGAGCATGAAGCAGCAATTGCAAGCATTGCCCAATTGATTTTGCATGATTGTGTAGGGGGAATAGAAGGTAAAGCTGCTAAGCAGTGGCTGTGCATCTCCAATCGTTGTGACTTCCACCCTTCCACCTACGTCTAAATCTGTCACCCATGTGATGCGAGCTGAGAACGCTGAGCCCCAGGTGCGCAACCCACTGATTATAATGATTTGATTGAATATTCGCACAATTCATTTGGTTCCCTGATTTTTAGGGAAGCTTGACTAATAGCAATGGCCTCCAACCTACTAGGCAATATATTGATTGTGATTGGAGCAAAGTTGACAACTTCCACTTCCCTTTCAGCTGAAAGCTCCAGCCTCTGCTTTCTGGAAGCTGTCCGATGCATGGAGAAATCTCCAAGGGGCTGTCTACATCGATCCTGACAGCCAGGTGTCACCGATGAACTCCACAAGCGAGCTAAGAGAGAACTCCACAAGGCCTCTGCAAGGTTCTTGGCGCAGATCCTGGATACCGCAGGATTTCACGTTCAGGATTTCTGTGGCCTGGGGCCTCTTGCATAGGACACATGCAAAGCGAAGCTCAGTTTGGAACATCAAACTCATGGAAGCTCGGATTTTACAATTACAAGCAATGCCGTTGGTTTCATGGAAAGACTGCTAAGCTTCCAGTTGGGTATTGTTTCTGCTTCCCCATAATTGACAGCTCTCCTGCAGCCTCCACAGACATCTCCTTAGGTGACAGTCGCCAAGCAACGAGTGAAATTCTCACGAGCATCATGACTGTCAAAAGGGGGCCAAGCTATGCTTCTTTTTACTAGTTGCGTTCTTGTTACTACTAGTAAGGCACTTGTTACTAGAAGCGATGCACTTGTTCCTAGTAGCGTCCTTGCTCCTTACTTCGCTTGGCACCCTCACAACTCTCAACTGGTTCTCTTGTTCTTGTTCAATTGGGTAGTTCTTGTTCTTAGAGTCTTAGAGCTCCGTATGGAGGACTCAATCATGTATTGCAGTCTGTGTGACTACAGTGACTACACCTTGTCGAGCCGAGCCCACATCTTGATACATGATATGTGCCAAGGCTCCCCAGTCCAGTCGGATGGGCTGTCCAAGTCATCGTCAATGGGCGGATCATACCTATAGTATCGAAAGTCTGTCAGTCAATTGTGAACACGGGTTTCAAGGTGCCACGAGAAAGGTAAAGGGTCAAGAAGGGTCACTGGTCACTAAGAGCCCACTACTACTCACACATCTTCACATCTTCAAAAGCACGCGCACAATCTGAAGAAAACTACACAAAGAACCAGGCCCATTTCTAGAACAACGCTATGCCTAGCTCTTGTCCCATGATTGCAGCCACAGCTCATCAAGGCCAAAGCACCAGGCGGGAAATCCCCTGTCTCCTGATCCGATTGTCTTCCTCCGTCTCTTTGGACCTTTCAACCTGCCTTTTGGACTTCGGTATATCGACGGACTTTGCTCCGAAGTACTGACATGGTTGAACTGGGAGGGCTTTGAAGTGGATGAGGCTTTGCAAACCAGTCCTCTCCATAATTTAATGGAGCAGACTCGTACATGAAAGGGTTCAAATACATCTGAGCGCCCAAAGCGTTGAAGCCACTGAAGTCCTGGGCGTCCACACATCAAACACGTGTCACCGGACGCGCCAGCGCGAAAATGGCAACTTTCCAAGGACATCAAACACAACTTTCCCATACTTGGCCAGGGAGCTTCTTCGCTTAGCTTTGGACAGCAGTGACTTGAAACTGCGCATCTGTGCAGCATTGTGCAACAAATGGATGCAATCAGCGGCCAATGGAGCCTGCAGCAATTGCCGCAATGACTTTCTACGACACAATTTGGTCGGCTTTCTTTGGTCGAAGTTCCTGCCTCAATATGGAAGCAAAGTGAGTTGCCACGCTCCGGGATTGAATTCTCTGCAACTTCGGCCAAACGGCGGCAAGTGCAGATGTCTGGTGAAGCCTTTCCCTGTGTGCTGAGGCGACTCAACCACCAGCACCATGCGAAACCTCCAATGCCTTTCGGCGTGATATTGACTCTACTTACTTCCAGTTGCTACACCTAGCAGGGCCTAGAGTCCTGGAGAAATCAACTTCACCCCCGAACAAAAGCGCATTCTTTACTTTGCATTTGACCCACCTCCTCGAGGAGTTGTGCTGGTGAGAGATTCAGCACAGAGTGTACTGAGCGAAGCCTAGCACTTGGAGGCTGAAAAAGCGAACAAGCTTCTAGCATTGTTGTTAATAGTAGCGATGCACTTGTTTCTAATAGCAAACATTGTTACTACTAGTAAGGCACCTGTTACTAGTAGAGATGCACTTGTTTCTACTTGACATGAAGACTGCGAACAAGAATATCACCTAAACATGATCTGACCTCTATCACCTATCCATATCTATCCATATTGGATGCTCTACATTGGTCCTGTCTGGTCCATTGCTCAAATGTGGTATTCAGGCAAATCGTTCCATTCTCATAAATGATCCATGCAAAAATGTATGCAAACCGGCGCAGGATATGCTGGGCAGGTATTCTCAAACAAGTTGCTGCATTGAAAAAGGGGCTCTTGTGGCTGAGTGACAATGTCGGCATGTGCTCATTGTGGAAGACCATGATGACACTCGCCTTAAGCAGGGCTTGCTTGGCTTGTTCAATCGTATCAAACTTCCAACAAGGGCGCCAACCCGTAGCGTCGTAGCGTCCTTGTTCCTAGTAGCGATGCCCTTTGCTCCTAGTAGCGAACAGGAGCCCCGTTCGTAGCGTCCCCTTGCCAACCCGACTCCGTGCCGGCGACCAAGCAGCTCGTGGCATGTTGCACGGGTAGGTCTCATCACGTGCCTTGCAAAAGTCTGAGCGCACATCCTCCTGACGGTGACCACACTCGAAAACTGCTCCCTTTGGCACCCTTTCATGAAGTTACGGCAACAATGGGCCGCCCAATGGGCCTCGAAAGCTACGGTATCTGACCACAAAATTGACGCTCTTTGACAACGCTTCAGCATGCTTCGGCTTCATCAAGCTTTCTCACACCTTTCGCAACACTCCTCAAAAGGTAAAATAAATGCTTGTCCGACACTGAACAAAAGCCTTTGGTCATTAGCTTGGGATTCGGACAATTACAGTACGTGGTGTTTCTTTTACAGTGTTAGACCAGACCTTATCAAGCGCAACTGACGGCCTTCAACACATTGGAACAAACAAGTGCTTCCAAAAATCCCGGACTGGCAAAACATTGAAAAACACTTTATTATTTTTGTTACTAGTAGTAAGGCACTTGTTTCTAGTAGCTTCTTGTTACTACTAGTAAGGCACTTGTTACTAGTAGCGATGCACTTGTTCCTAGTAGCTTCCTAGTAATAAACTTTGTTCAACGATTGACCAATAAAGGTGAGTATTATCAATATGATCACGCGCGACTAACCTGCGATCAAAGCTTTGGTGTGCTTTTGACGCAAAAAATCAATTCACTGCCACGGTGTGCTCTTCTATGAACGCTCGCAGGAAACACATATTGACAATTCTTTCATAGAACAATATGTTCGTTGTTAGTTACTGTTCTTAAACTGCCAATCTTCACACTAGCCCGAGTCGAGGTACAGCTCCTGCACGCGGTCCACGTCCACGGCCTCACTGCCACGGCTGTTGAAGCTGAAGCCACGGTGGCTCTCCAGCTGTTCCTGCTGAACTCCACAGAGCTTCAAGCTCTTTGTGTGATTGGATCCAGCAAAAAGTAAAACAGAACGGATTTTGCACACAAAAACACCAGCTCCAACCGCATCCCATCTTGTCACTTGAAAGTCAAGGCATTTGGAGCGAAGACTGCAAGGTTTGAGTGGAACATTCCGTGGCCTTTTTCGAGAGCCCTCTTGCAGGCAAGGGCACCACTCCCAGCTTGCAGCATCTTCCGTCACGGAAGAGCCCAAGCCTTAGGTTTAGATCTTCTCGTCTCCGAAAGAGTTTCTCACCCAATTCGTCAACTGCAAGAGCTGTTTGCATATTGCATGTTGACCCGCAACTGTCCTGAATGGACGCAGTACACCAAGTTGCTTCCCATGCTGATGGTTGGTGCTGGCATTCTCTAAAATCTGCAGCCAATCACTCAAAAATACATCTGGCAAATCTATCGTTACAAAGGATCTTTGTTGAATTCTTCTTCGGAGAACATGTCTGCCCAGCCTTTGGTGCTTTGGACCTGAGTAGGGACTCTGCTTGCGGAAGTGGAGGAGCATTCTTCTGCAGTTTCGGCGCCGGAGAGACCTGCCGAGTTGGACAAGTGCCGAGTCTTGCACGTCCTAGTAGCTCCTGGCAGGAACAAGCTACTAGGTTAGCGTCTTTCGTAACGTCTTTCCTAGGTGTCTACTCGTACTTCTCGCCTTGGCAGCATGGTTGCACAAGCGGAGCTGTTGCAATTGCTGTGCCTGCTCCAAGGCCCAGCTCCGTGGGGCCACCTGCGAATTCGAGTACCGGACCGGAAAACGGCAAACCGAGAGTAGTAGCGTCCGATCGCTCCGTTCGTAGCGATGCCCTTTGTTCCGTTCGTAGCGTCCTTGTTGGCAAGGGACTCATTTGCGACACCAAATCTGACTCATTTGCGACACCACCACCCCCCTGTATTCCTCTCATGTACGACACCAAATCTCTCTCATTCGCGACACAGACACATACACACATATGATTGCAAGCGTTAGGTTGGGTGGGACATTAGGTTGGGGTGGGGTGGGGCATTAGGTTGGGTGGGGGGGTGGGGTGGGGTGGGGCATTAGGTTGGGGTGGGGGGGTTTAGGGGTGGGGTGGGACATTAGGTTGTTGGGCTTCAGAGTTTAGAGTGGCATTTGGTGGAATTGGTGTGGAGCTGGATTGGAGCTTTATGACTTTATGAGAACCAAGCTTGGGCCCTGGGCCCAGAAGCACACAGATTCTCTAAAAGAAAAGCTCTCCGCGTCACAACTGAGAAAAGCTCTCCGCGTCACATTCGAGACAAAAAAACGCGTCACAACCGAGACCCTTTCCGTCCTTGTTCCTAGTAGTAAAGCCAGGAGCCCCTAGTAGCGTCCTTGTTCCTAGTTTCTACCTGGCATAAACAGCCCTACGCACAATCAAATGTTCGAAGCTACAACGCCTCCTCTAGCTCCTCGCAACCCTTGAGAAGCACTAAAGCCACGAGGTACGGCCACGGAGACCCAAGATGCCCCATGGCTCCGGAGGCAGCCCTAGGCCTTCTTGCGACAAGTAATGGCCTCCAATCTAGTAGCTTCTTGTTACTAGTAGAATCTAGTAGATGGGAGCTCTTTTGTAGTCAACAAAAAGCTACAATGAGTTTGTCGAGTCATTGTTATTTTTCCTTTTGAGTATTAGATGTGGTTGCAAATCAAACAAACAAATGCAGCTGCACTGCAAGCCGATAGGACAGCTGCACTTCTGAACCGTTATCGATTTGTCCAGAGCATGTTTTTGCCGCAAAAAGCTCGTGTTTCTTTGTACAGCTCAGGACTTGAACATCAACCCTTCCTTTTGCTCCGCCGCTTCTTCAAACTTGGCGGGGCGGTAGTTCCCTGGCGGTGGCTGAAGCCTAAGTCTTCAACTTCCAGGACTGCTATGAGACTCCTAATGAGACTCCTATGAGACTCATGTGCATCGTTTTGCACAAAAAAGGATCTTGAAAATGTCGGAACAGTCTCATAGCATCATACGAGTCAGTAAGAGACAAGAATCTTACAAGATCTTCCAAGTGTTTGGCAAAAAACAATATGACTGCATAAAAGTGGCCAGTGCAATCCGAATCGATCTTCCAACTCCTTTGATGCGATGTGCGCCCTGCTCTTCACCAGCTCGGTGATCTTGTAAAGGCGGTAAACCACCTTGGCATGTCGAGATGTATCTGTATCCACAGATTCCCACAGCCACAGTCATGACAAACAACAGACTAATGCCGTACAAGTGAGTAAAACCTCCACTCAAGGCCTTTAGAGGCAAGTCTTCGATGACCAAACAAGACACGTCATTTCCAGCTCGTAGCTCTGCGTCCGCAGGCCACTCGTTGCCCATAGAGAAGCTCCTACAAGTGCCGAAGCAATCTTGGCACTCTGATTCTTCCTTTCAACCTAAGAGCAATGGCCTCCACCCTAGAAGCGATGTCCTCCACCCTAGTAGTGATGGCCTCCAACTTACTAGCGATGGCCTCCAAGCGATGGTCTCTAACCTAGTAGCGATGGCCTCCACCCTAGTAGCGATGGCCTCTAACGTAGTAGCGATGGCCTCCAACCTGGTATGGCGATGGCCTCCACCCTAGTAGCGATGGCCTCCAACCCAGTGGCGATGGCCTCCACCCTGATTCTTCTTCTCACATTCGTACATCCGTTTCACTTTGACTCAAAGCTTGACTCTTTGCACCAAATGCTTGGTCCTGCTGACAATGCGCGCCCCCAGTGGAAGAGTCTGCATGAGCCGGGATCGCAGGCTAAGGTTTGCCCATTCACCAAGGAAAAGATACACCTCATCAACGTGCCAAGCCAAAGTGCGACAACCCAGCTGGTGCGCTTGAATCCTTGCCTATACAGTGATAGTAATTTGCCTTCGGAGAATTACATGATATGCACGAAGTTGCTCTTGAGTCTTGAGGCCTCGAAACGATTGTTTCCCGTTTTCCAAACTGCCACTTCTCCATGATTGAATCTGTCTCGTATAGAGTAATAGGTACCAAATGGTACCAACGATGGCTCACTCTGGTGGCCTGCAACTTCCAACGCCGTCGACGATGAGGCTAGCTACTCTAACGCGGGGCGGCGTAGCGCTGATGCTCTGGGGAAATGGTTGAAGTCATCTGCTACAGGCTTAGCCCATCTCAGCCCCCCCGTAACTAAGTTTCACTCATTCAGAAAAGTTAGTGTCAAGAGCAGGTGGATTCGACGCAAAATCTGAGTTATTTGTTGCAATCTCTGGAGGATACCACCCACTGAGTGACAATACGATTGCAATCGAGTGCATGAAGAAATGGTGTGAAACAAATACTATATTGAATGGTGTTCCTAGTAGCTTATTGTTTCTAATAGCACACATTGTTACTACTAGTAAGGCACTTGTTACTAGAAGCGATGCACTTGTTCCTAGTAGCTTATTGAATGGGCCAGTGAAGGGCGGCCCGTAACATCCTCCCATGCAACCGCGAGTCCACAGTGGCTTGAGCCATCAATGGGACCTCTGGGTCCAGGCCGTTGCGATCACTCATCCGCTTCAAGGGTTCTGTGAAACCTCAGAAAAAGGGCGCTACTAGGAGCAAGAAGCTACTAGAAGATCTGAGCTACTCTTGACACAACAGTTTTTGTAGGACATGCAACACTGAAACAACACATACAGCAAAGCTTCAAGTTCAGTCAGAGACTCAAGGACCCGTCACACTTCTTCGAGCTTAGAAGCAAGTATCTAGATCTGCCTGTAGCACCTGAGGTCGATTTTCGACGAAAATGGACTTTATGGGTGGCAAGTTACTTCGTGAAAGTTCACCTGGCTCAGAACAAAGCCAAGCATGATCAAAGCATGTCACACAAACCAATCAACCTCAACATGTCCACACCGGTTGCCTGTCATCCAGACTGAACAATTGCGGTCTGCCTATCCTAAGCCTTGTAGACCCATCCCAACATCGAACTCTTTCGGTGACCGTCGATCGCATGTAAAGATAACAATCAGAACAGAACGACATTGCTACTAGGAACAAGGGCATTACTACTAGCTAGAATCTACTAGTAACAGGGGCATTGCTACTAGGAACAAGTCGCTGAAAGACACTCCAGTCGGGAAGCTTTTCCAGCGCCTCAATGTCCGTGTTGGCGGTTGCTTCGCAGGCACGGCGATATGTGGCAGGTTCCATCTCAACGCCCAGAACACGGCACCTGGAAATTCAGAACGAGACTGGTTGGAGCGGGTTTTTCATGACAAAACTTTTCTGTTGGCAGCTAGGTACTGGTGTGCCTGAGGTATCTTCAGCTGGAAAAAGGTCCTCTTCTCAGTGCAATTGATGGATCCCATATCGTTTGTCCATGTTACCGTCTAGATACTCTAGAATCATAGAGAACATCTCTTGAAACAGCTGAGAGAGAGGGATAGGCCGAACAACAGCTGAAGTGAGAGCAAGAGGCTGAAAATGGCTCTTACATGCCCAACATCTTGATTCAGCAACCACGGTGAGCTATCCTGCGTCCTACCTAGAAGCTAGGTTACTTAGGGGGTTGGACCACGGCCTTCTAAGAAAGTGACTAGGAGGGAGGAAGCTACTAGGGGCTCCTGGCATCGCTACTAGGAGCAAGGACGCTACTAGGGGCTCCTGGCCGTACTACTAGGAGCAATGGTTGCTATTAGGAACAAGAAGCTATTAGCGGCTAGACTTCGTCATTTTTTCCGATATACTCATTCCATTTCTCGAGGTCGGTCCGTCCACCGTGCCCCCCTTTCTTCGCAGGCGCTCCAAACATGCAGACCGCGCTGCCAGGAGAACCTCGCCATGTCCACAACCCAAATCCACAAAGACCTCGGTGCAACCCGATCCTCGCAGTGAAGATTGTCTTGCGAAAGAAAAAGAAAAAAGGTAGACACACACAAGCAAGATCACAAATAGTTACAGCGCTATTTGGAGAATTATATAGTTTGAATTAGTTTGATGTTATCACAAATTGAGGCCAAAGCATCGTTAGAGGTCATGGGAACGAGGCCACGCTCATCTTTGCCTTCACACGTAAAGCAAATTCATTGAAGATGCTCAAGCGATAGGGGGTCAAAAAATCCTAGCCAACACGGCGGACTCTCATGCCAATAGAACGTTTGGCAGTTTGTACTAAACGCAAAGCAGTTCTTATTGGATTTGTCACTTGCTAAACACTTTGTAAATGTCAGCTGGCTTCAGATCAAGACACTGAAGACAATCCCGAGCACATCAGACACGGGTGTCTCCCTGAAGCCAGCCTAAGTGGCAAATCTTACCAGCAGTGGCGGCAGTCCAGTCTATGTGATGGTCGCTGAAAAAGCGATGTGGAGTGTAACTGGGTGATGGACAAAAGGTTTAAACACACCCTAGCCAGTCTGGATCATGTGCTTTATAGAAAGCGCTATTAGGTTGGAGGCCATCGCTATCAGCTACTTGCGAATAGGACGCTACTAGGGGCTCCTGGCATCGCTACTAGGAGCAAGGACGCTACTAGGAACAAGTGCATCGCTACTAGTAACAAGTGCCTTACTAGTAGTAACAAGGACGCTACTAGGGGCTCCTGGCATCGCTACTAGGAGCAAGGACGCTACTAGGTTTGCGCTTTTGCGACTTCTTCCGACTTGTGATCTCCCAGCCACATAGGTGACAGAGTCCTCTGAGTCCGCTGTGGAGAGGCGATGCACTGGACCGCCCAACCGCACCTGCTTGTGCACGTTGGCACTTGGCAAGCGGCATATAACGCTCAAAATT